TTGAAGGACCGAAAAAAGAAGGGATGGTGAAGGCGTCGATGTCACTAAAGATGGAAAGAAAATAGAAGTTGGGGAGGATGATATAAAACAAAATTGCATTTTTTTTAATAAATGATCGACTAAAAATATGATATAAACATATCATTTCATTTATTATATTGTGTGTAAAAAACATGTCAAATCATACATCTATCTATTTTACTTTTGCTCTGTTTGTATTCTATTCATAAAACTCTAAAAATGATTTCCTTTCTTTAACTAATTGATTATAGCCGATTAATATCCATGTCATATTAAAAAACAAAAATATATGCCATATTATATTTTTAGCCAATCATTTTTCTTTTAAAATGGAATTTGTTTTTATTTGATGGTAAATATTAATATATGAACTTTTTTAAACATAAAAAAAAGTATAAGGTATATATACATGTGTTAAAGTTGGCAGTTAATTGTTTAAAATTTTAATATCTAAATTTCTAATTTAAAAAGAAATCATAAATTACTTATTTATTTTGGATTTATATTTATATAGTAGATTGTTTAAAACTTTAAACTTTGATATGTAATTAACTTTGAAGTCAATCACTTATTTAATTTTCTTAAATTTATAAATTCTAACAAATTATGAACTATTAAGGCGGTAGGTTATATGAAATAGTAGATTATGCGATTTTGTTAAGGCTATGTTTGGCGTACTAGCTGAAAAGCTAGCTGATAACTGAAAAGGTAGCTGTTAAATAAAAAGCTAGCTGATAGCTGAAAAGCTAGCTGATAAAAAATAACGTTTGGTAAAACTAGCTGAAAAGCTAGCTGAAATATATAAAATTACATAAAAGGACATGTATGAGTATGTGTTTCTATAATTAATTAAGGGGTGTATTTGGAAAATTTAAAAAAAGTTCCTAAAAAGCTAGTCTAAATAGCTTTTCAAAAAGCTAGCTTATAAGCTACTTTTTGGCTAGCCAAATACGACAACATAAAAAAGCTCGAAAAATAAGCTAGCTTATCAGCTAGCTGTGACGTGCCAAACACAGTCTAAGTCTGTGAAACGACAATTAACATGTAATCGAACATTTTTTTTGTTGCTTATAGATTACTTGTGATTTTTTTCCCTTTATATTGGACTTACTAGTTGTGAGACCCGTATATTATACGGGTTGATTAAAATATTTTGTTAAATAGGAACGATTAAATGAGAAGTTTATTTGAATTTAAAATATGAAATAAGTGAAAATTATTGGAAAAAAAAACATGCAACAAATAAATTAATTAAAATTACGTGTTTAATTGTCCGACCGATGTACTAAACGAGTTATTATAACAAAATGTTAAATACAAAGGTTTAAAGTGTAAATTTATTTGAAATTGAAATTGAAATTTCAAATTTGAAATTTGAAATTAATAGTCACTATGGTAAGTTTAATTTATGGAAACTAAATTAATGATATATTGGAAATGAATAATGAAGTAAATGACAAGTGGAAAATAAATGTATGTCAAAATTATGAAAAAATGACATGTGACCAATTGAATGAGAGAAATGACAAATGACAATAACATTTTGGGTAGATATATTGGAGTGAAAAAAGCAAACCATTCTTACCCAAACCGACCCGATCATGTTGACTTGACCCGATTATAAGTTCATCACTAGTGCCCCATAGGCCCATATGGTGAAATATATGGATCTGCCTCTAATAACGATCGAGTCCCATCAATTTATTCTTCTTTACTTTTGTTTGTCTAAAGTAAGGCATTCAAGTTATTTAAATTTATTACACTAGACATAAAACTAAAATATAATTATTTGATTGATAATATTTTATTCAAATGTTTAAATAAATAAGTACATGACGTTACCTAGTTTCAAAGTACAATAGGTGTCATATATTGCAAAAAGAGAAGAAGATCAAGCTTTGAGAATGATTGATATTTAGAAAACGATAAAGTGTAGCTTCTATTTTATACTTGAGGCTAATTTGACTAAAAATACTTTTATCATCTTATCCTTGAAAACCGACTTTTACTGTTTTACATGACAACTGAAAGTTATCAAAAAGATTAAAATAGTTCACAATTCAAAGAGCTTGAAATGGTGAAAGTGGCCATTCGACTTGAATATTGTCATGAAATTTTTGTAAAGTTCATATCTAGCTCGGTTTAGATATTCCGTTAGAACAATGGTTGATATTATTTGTTAAACCGGAGAGACATGATTTATTTAAAAAAAAAAAAAAAGCCATCATGCTTAATAAGGAACTAAATGCAAACACAAGAAGTATATGGAGCTACTGAGGGTATGAGAAACAACAACTTGCCCAATTACACTCCCCTCCCAAATTTAAACCATATAAACACCAAGAAAATTACATTATCCGCAACCTTTACACCGTAGGATATTGCTAGAAGAAGAATTATTTTGGGAAAATTCATGAAATAACCAAAAAATGGGATGTGTTTAAAAAATATGACCAAGGAAATTGAAGTTTCACAAAATGACCAAACTTTCCTCATAGACCCTCTCTGAGGAAATCTTTTTTGGCTCTACGGAAGCGTATAAGCTCTGAGGAACTGACGTGGCAGGGGTAAAAATCATAAAAACACATAAATAAAAGGGAAATATCCAGAAAAGTCCTAAAATTTTACCCTAATTTACGAAAAAGTCCCAAACTAAATTTTGTTTACGAAAAAGCATGAATTACCGGTAAAAATCGCGATTTGACCCCCTTTTTCCGGTTTACCGGTTTTATTACTTACTTGTTTAACTAAAATCTCATTATTTTACCCTAATTTGCGAATAAGTCCCAAAATAAAATTTACTGATGATTTGACCATTTTCCTCATGTAATATACATTTTATCGGTTTCATTGATGACTTAGTCACCTAGTCATTAAATTAGTTGATAAGATGGATACGATGAATTATATAATGCTACATTTACTGTAAAATTTGATATCCATCTCATCGGCTCATTTATGACTATGTATCTACGTCAGCAATGAAACCAATAAAATGTTTGTTTTAAAGAAAAAAGGGTAGAAAATGAGTTGATGTTTGATGAGATGGATATATTGGGTTACATAAGATTAGATAAACAATTTGATATTTCTTATAAACGTAAAAAATAACGCAGTTGTTGTTAGTTTATGAAATTATTGTAGTCTTCGTTGGATGCATTTTATGTTCCAAAAAAATACACAATACATTAGAATATCAAGTTTTATGCTAAACATAACATTATATAACTCAACATATCCATCTCATCATCTCATTTAATGACTAGGCGTCCGGATCAACAATGAAACCGGTAATATGTATGTTACATAGAGAAAATTGCCAAATCATCAGTAAATTTTATTTTGGGACTTATTCGCAAATTAGGGTAAAATAATGAGACTTTAGTGAAACAGGTAAGTAATAAAACCGGTAAACCGGAAAAAGGGTCAAATCACCATTTTTACCGGTAATTCATGCTTTTTCGTAAACAAAATTTAGTTTGAGACTTTTTCGTAAATTAGGGTAAAATTTTAGGACTTTTTTGGAGATTTCCCTAAATAAAATATCAAAAAAAAAAATCATTGCAGATTAGGAAAGCCTTTGCTGCGGAAAACAAGTTCGTTGGCTGCGGAAGAAAGACGGACGATCGATCAGAATTGGAAACGGTCGACATAGGGACGGTTCCACTATGGTGCCCATAGTGGCACCGGCAACCCCTTATTTTTTCGGATACAGTGTAAAAAATTTCGAATTTTTCGTTTTTCTACTTTTGTGCCACTACGTAAAAGGAAAAATGTGCCATCGACAACACCTACTACGAAATCCTGGGTCGACACTCGATAGTGAGGATGAGAGAATATCGAAATGGTGAGGAGATCTCGACAGCAACATCAACTAAATGAAGATGTTTTAGCAGATGGCTATGGAACCCTAGGTTTAAAAAGGTTTTATGTCGTAGTAGGTTTTTTTTTTTTTTTTAGTGGTTAAATTGAATCAATGTTTTAACATATGGCTATTGAACAAGTAATTTGAAGTGTTTTATGACAAAATCCATCAAAAAACAAAGATTTTCAGCGAAAATCAATTCCTCAGAGGGTAGAACAGATCCGCAGATGGTTGCTCTATGGATCCACAGTGCCTCTGCGGAAATGTGGTGTTTTTAAAAAAAAAAAAAATCCAAAAAATGTTTTTTCCAATTTCTAGATCAATTAATGTTTTTTCAATTTTGCAGAGGGAGACACATTTCCGCAGAAGACGTACCAATTTTGCAGAGACTGTCTCTGCAGAACAGTCACTTCAGAAGTCAGTTTTTGTCTTTTTGCACATGTGCCAAATTCCTCAAAGAAGTTTGGGTTCCACAAAGCCAAAAAGATTTCCTCGGAGACCCTCTCTCAGGAAAGCTTTTTCATTTGTGAAACTTCAATTTCCTTGGTTATATTTTTCAAACACACCCCGTTTTTTTGGTTATTTCATGATTTTTCCCATTATTTTTTTAGATGGTTCCCCAATTTTTCGTGAAGTTAAGTATATCGTTCACATTAGATAAATTCATGAGGGATGTCAAACCACTTGAATATTTGTTCCTGATCCTTGTTTACAAAAGGACAAGTGACAAGGATATGGTCCACAAAGTCAATTCCAATGGAGCACATTCAACAATTAGTTGAAGAAATATATATTCCTCCGTCTCTTGGTCAACCGCTGATGATATTCTTCTAATTATCGCTTTTTATATGAAACACGAAACTTTTAATGGAACATATTTGATCCATTTAAGATCACCACCCGTATTTTTGACTTAGGAATTGGTTAATCTCCGCATCAAGTCCAATGTGTAACGACTATCAGCTGAAAGATTAAAATGGTGGCGATCTTGACGAGGGCCGATGCTTACCAAATCAAGAACAACCGAGAGCTAGGCCAGCTCAATGATTTCTGACGTATTACAAGAGTTCTTTTCTAAGGCCATAAACGACATGTCACTCAAAAGCGATCAACAATGAGGTTGTTTTTGTCTTTTCGAGGGCATATACCATTTGGAAACGAGATTTTAACTTGCATATGCCAATCAAATCGTCCTTCTAGAAAAGAGTATTATCTCAAATACCTACTACATGAGAGAAAAAAGCCATTATTGATCCCTATTTTGTCAAGATCACTCGACACTTTTGCTATGCTACTCTACATTCATGAGATTGACTTTTCGCCAAAATACAATAAAGGTTTCTTGTCCATATTATGAATTCCTTTAATAACCCGACATCAAGTGGTGATTTTTTCAATTTGAGACGCCACCACCATTTCAGAAGCATCGCTCCATTTTAGGCTTTAAGTGACCCTAGACCAAGATCCCTATCAACCTTGATGTAAGGACCTTAGCCCATTTCATGATTATACATTTCTAATATATTGCCTTTATACCGCTTGTTGGACAAATGATGGGTCAATCCAAGAAAAAAGTTTCAATCATTCTTTTTATCCTACATAATGGAAACTTTCAATATATGAAGATTTTCCATTTTATAACCTAAAACATAAGCTAGCAAGAACTTTTTGAATATAGCTTGTTACGACTCTCAAAAAATCATATTTTCCAGACTTTAAAAAAGGCTTATAACTTATAGATAAAAACTAAAAAGACTATAACTAACCCTTATAAAATAGTTTGTTAACACTAAATGGGACGTTTTTAGAAGAAAAAGTTTGTTGAAAGCACCGAGTGCAAACTTATAAACTTTGGGGGCTATTTTGCAGTTCTTCTTTTCTTGGAGAGAACGATACATTTGAGCATCCTCTTCAATTGAAGAATACCTAAACACCCGGCTGGGTTTTCATCTTCATTGGAGCAGTTGTTTGGAGTCGACATTGCAGGTATGGAGACATTCTTCCTCTCTCGTGCTTTGTACTTCTTCGTAGCTCTCACTCTTCTTTTTTTTTTTTTTTTTTCCTTTTATCTTTTTCTTTTCACTGATACACGGCCTCTAACACTTGAAGATCCCTAATTATTAAATTCTTCTTCAGTACGTCGCCTTCAAAATTTCTCTTTTCTCCTATAAACCTTTGTTTTTGATCAATATTGTTATTGTTTTCCATGAACGTTTCCGTTTGATCTTGGGTTCATGATCTTCTTTCATCAAATAGAAGCAAAAATCGAGTGCCGTATACACTTGATTTAATGATTCTCTGTCTTTGGTTGATTGCTTTTAACTGTTTCTTAATTCCTTTCTTATTTGTATCCCCGAATTTCTAATTTCATTTGTTTTAACAGGAAGAAGATAAAGAGCAGAAGAACGTGTTTCAGGTTAATCAATTTTAGGTATATCTTTTGGACTTGATTTCCATACTTCAATATCATCTAAATATATCGGATCTCATGTTTATGAGTTTTGCTATGTTTAGATCTCTTCAGGATACATTTAATCTCTTGAAACTTGAGCATTCCTCTAATACTCTCTGTTCTGAAATTATACCTTGTGTGATAGTTACAACATGCTTATAAACGAGAGAACTGTAGATGAGTGTAGTATTAGAACTTGCTGCAATGAGTCTGGATATCTTGCTGTTCAAGTATCTCATCTTAAGTATAAGATTAGAGGTGGCAATTTCTACCCATCACACTATGAATCAGTCGGTTTGGGTGTGGTAAATATAAGTTTTTTTTAGCTAAATGTAAGCATGTCATATGGGTCAACTCCAAGATGGGATTATGATTTTGGGGAGAATGTGCTCGACTCCTCTTAGTTATATGTAATCTTTAATGTTCTGCCTTCTAGTCATTTCTTCATCACTTCCTAAAATGTTGTCATCAACATTTTTCATGATATTTTAGTGTATCAAAGCTTAAATCCTATTGTTACATTTTGCTGCAAAGATAAGTTCTTGTTCATTAAATCTTCTTCCCATCACAATTGCAACATTTGACTTACATGTAAGCTTAACTGACATGGTTTGGTTATTTGTCAATGTATCTACACATCATTCAACAAAGACACAATAGGGAAATCTCATGAACCCAAATCACTAGAATCATTTAATTTGTATTGGTGGAAAAGGTACTGTAGGTGATCTTAACACAAAAACTTTACATAAAGGAAATGTTGCAGTTTCATGAGACATCCAAAAAGGAAAGTGTTGCCACTATCATTGAGTAGAGAGAGTATCATTTTCTACCATTCTACATTCTCCTTGTGGGATCAATCACCATCACATCAAATAAGTAGTATACACAGTTACATCTATGTTTCTTCCCACATCATAAAATGAGATGTACATACAGATTAAATTTCCAAACTAACAGGATCTAAGTATTCAAAATGATTAAACTATCAACAACTCATAATCAATAACAAAAAAATTGACAGTAATCTCCATCTGTCTTGTATTACTTTATCTGATTATTTTTCTCCGATTTGTGCTTGTGCAGGTGATGGATTCTTTATTGAGCTCTGAAGGAGATTCACAGAGGACACAGTATGCAGTCTTTTAGCTTTATCATCTAAAATATGTGGTGTAACATGTAGTAGGATTTTAGATCCAAAGTTAGTTAACCAATTGTTGATTGTTTGTTTTTGAAACAGGTACCCATACGTAACAGGTACATCTGTGATTGGAATCAAATACAAGGATGGTGTTCTCATGGCTGCTGACATGGGAGGTTAGATGATTTCTCTGACCTTTGACTATTTTTAAAATTTTAAGTGATGTTAATATTGAATACATGTAATATAACAATTGAGTGGAAAGTACATTGGTAATACTTACATATAATATACATTTGACAGGGTCATATGGATCCACCATTCGCTATAAGAGTGTGGAGCGAATAAAGCAAATTGGCAAACATTCTCTTCTTGGTGCAAGTGGAGAAATCAGTGATTTCCAGGAAATTCTAAAATACCTTGATGATCTCATGTAAGTAGAACAATCCTTAAAACAAAAGGGTCTGTTTTGAATATTATTAGTAAGATAAGATAAGATAAGATAAGATGTAATACATAATAATGCATTACATTACAGATTGAATGACAAGATGTGGGATGATGGGAACTCACTTGGACCTAAAGAGGTCCACAATTATCTAACTCGGGTCATGTACAATCGCCGCAACAAGTTTGACCCTTTATGGAATTCCCTTATAATCGGTGGAGTCAAAAACGGCCATAAATATCTAGGATCGGTATATTATACCTTTTTGCAACATTTTTTTTTAAATAAAATCTTTATCGATATAAATCCATAAAAGTATTTATTATTTATATGTTGTTAGGTGAGCATGATTGGTGTACATTTTGAGGATGATCATGTTGCAACTGGATTTGGGAATCACCTGGCGCGTCCAATTCTTCGTGAGGAATGGAGGGAGGATTTGACTTTTGAGGAGGGTGTTAAATTGTTGGAGAAATGCATGCGTAATCTTCTATATCGTGACAGATCTGCTGTCAACAAGCTGCAGGTCTTTTTTTTTTTTTTTTTTTTTTTCATAAATAAGTTTGTAAGTAGAAAAAAATGGTTTCTCTCTGAATGGGAGTTGATATTTGAAAACACAGATAGCAAAGATTACGGATGAAGGAATGACCATCTCCCAGCCCTACTCTTTGAAGACTTTCTGGAATTTTGCTGCTTTTGAGAATCCTACTGTTGGAGCTGAGGGGTCATGGTAGGCATTTGAATTTTCAAATTCCAACTACTACCCAAAAAACATATATGTTACCTTGGCTTGATGGATGTTTTTTTTTTTTAATTAAATGTTCTCAAATATTGTTATGTGATACTATTAAACTTCTGTGTTTACCGGTTTTAGATTTTCAAGTTCCGGTAGATGGACTTGATCCTTGTGTTTAACTTTAGTTTTAATCTGTTTGGATCTCTGATTACCTGTTTGCATTAAATGCTATCTAGATAAATGATGTCTGTCCAAAGATATTTGATTGGCTAAAACTTAATTGGCAAATTATATAAAAACAATTATTATAGTTTCTCACTTTATCAGTTTTAACAACTCATATTTATAACTTAAAGACAAAACTTTGCATTTCTTTTTCAAAATACAATCCTACATGGTATATAAGTTTAACAGGTAACCATAACATTTTGAATTATAGTGTAATTCTGAACGATCAAATCGAAAAGTAACTAATACAATGGTTTTCTTTTTTATAAATTCTCTAATTTTTTTTATAACTTATATTTTATAAATGAATCAAACTAAATTTTAGCTTTTCATTAACTTTCAACAAGTTGATAACATTTGTAGAAGGTTAATTTTATATGTATTCCCTCAATTGCTTTGTGAACCTTCTCTATGAGCAGGTGAATGTGTGTATCCTATGATTTGATAATTTATATGAGAGGGGTATATATAATAGCATCCTTGTAGAATTCCACCAAGCAAGTTCCATCCAATACTGTATAGACATCAACTACCTCAATATGATGAATTACAGAAAGAAATAAAGAATGTTGTAACTCAGAAGGGGAAAAACAATACTTTTCCAATTATATTTATATATATATAATAATAAAAACGTTGATTTATCCAATCAAACATTTGCCTGTTCTAGTTGAACTTGAACATTGTCGTCTCCATTCAAAGCCTCATAATCACCAAGATAGCCTTGAAGGAAATCATCCAAGCTTGATTTATCAATATTCTCATGGTGATAAGACTTACAGACAAGATAAAGAATCGTCTGAACAACAAGCCCAAAAAGAAACAACATCAAAACCACCAGCAAACACAAAACCCCAAATCCTAATCTTCTCCAAACTCCCAACTCTCCACCATTCACAACAAATACTTCAAACACAATTTGCATTGCAAAAAAAGATAAAACCAACTTTGAAACAACAATAATCGCCACCCATCGTTTCCCTTTAATCAAGTCCATGCTTTTCATCATAGCTCTAACCCCATAACAACTTTCCAAAACCGAAACAACACACGCCATTTGCCAAATAATGCTCATGTAAGCAAACCCCACAAAGTATAAAACCAACATAACATGAAACAACACCACACCAAATGTGTTATCAGGGAAATGAACCATGTAGAAAACTAGTATCAGAATAGCAAGCATGTTATAAACAAAGAAAACCACAAACGCACATAAGAAAGTGACAACAAGTCTCTTCCAAACCTTTGGGACAACGCTAGTGACAGTGGTGAATGTGAGATTATAATTACGTGTAGTGTAAATGGAAGCAGTTGTGTAGACGACTGCTGAAGTTGAGAGGAGTGAAAAGACGATGAGAAAGGTGAAGTAGGTGGCTTTAAGTAGCCAGTATGTGATCCATTCAGATCTTAGTGCGTCAGAAAGTTTATTGTACCTTAGGGTTCCGGGTCGGGTTATGTGTTTTTGGAAATCTGTGTGGATTATTTTTCTTGAAATTATATTAGAGACTTCCATGTGAGCTAGAAAGATAAAGGCTAAGGGGAGGATGAAGGTTAGGGTGATTTGAGTGAAGATTTTTCTCCATGAGACGATGGTTTTAATGGTTTCTTTGTAGATGCCTAAGAGACCTAAGAACTGCATTTCTTCTTGTGGTTTATCCATGTTAATTAAGTTGGCTATAGATTTCTTGAATGAGAAAGTGGAGATGGATCGAGAGGAGTTTGGTTTCAAATGTAAGGGATATGTATGATTATTTTCAGACTTGTTTTGCTTATTTAATTATAGAGACTATGTGATAATATTTTTGTTTGTTTTATAAAAACTATGTTTGTATCTTAGGTAATGGTGTTGGAAAGCCATGTTTTTTTTTTATTTTATTAAACGTATCTATTATCGAAGGGAATATATATATGCATGCCTGCACGGCTACAAGAGTGAATTTACCGTTTGCTAACTTTGTTACTAGAATATTTAATATTTTTGTATTAATTAAAAAACTATTGTAGTAAAAAGAAGTAAAAAAAAAACGTCTTGTAATTTCAGAAAACTGAACATTTGTAATCATGCATGTTATGTTTTTGTTTTTCAAGCATATATTTTTTATGGAGTTTTACGTACAAAATATCAAATCCATTCTAAAAATGTAAAATATCAAATACGCACACCGGATATACACACAAAGTCACAAACAACATGAAATTTTCTTATCTCCGCACGTTCAAGGAAGCCATTTGAACACAAAGGTCTCGTTTTGAGGGAAAGAATAATAATCACTTTTAGTTTTAATAAAGCACCGTTTCTTCCCATCAAATTTGAATATCAACAGCAAAAAAAAAAAAAAGATAAAAAATTCGACCTGCCGGATTCAAACCAGCGACCTAAGGATAACAGCGTACAACTACAGCCCTCCGCTCTACCAACTGAGCTAAGGTCGGATACATTTACATAGTCATCAAAATATTTATTATTTAATAAGTTTTACACGCATAATAACACTTTCCGTCAAAACAAATTAATATCATTCCATGGTTAACACACAATAACAACTTTTATTTATTAATAAACTGAAGAGATTACATTAAGCAGCGTTTACGGCGATATTCATCCCAGACTGACAATGACCAGCAATGCTACATATGAAGAAATTTACGCCTTTAGAGAGCTTCAGACGGTCCTTTCCACTGTTGTACACTTTCGCACCTGCCGAGGCTGTGCAACCATCATAACCTCCTTTGTTCACCACCACCACGTTATGGATCGTTGAATCATAGTTAAATACTGCATTATTTATCAAGTTATATTTATGTTCCAATATATAACATACATATACATATAAAATTATTTGTGGTGAATAAAATTGTACTTTAAAAGAAACTTTTTCATGGTTTCATGATGGGGGAAACTTACCGAGGGTATCACCTGCTTTGAGCCGCTTTCCTTTGGTCCAAGTATTGGAGCCAAAGGACCAACCATTAGAGTCTCCAACCGTATAAACCGCACCATCCACTGGTCCAATGGATTGAACCATGAGCCACACCATTGTCACCAAAAGGATCATGGTGGTTCGACTCGCACTGCCTCTTCCCTCACCTTGGGCCATTTTTCCTTCACTCGAGAGAAAGTTGTTCACACAAAACTTATGGGTGAGCGAGTTAAAACTTTTAGGATCCAAAACATGTAGAGGGTATTAAAACACATAATGTTTATTTATTTATTTATTTATTTATTTATAAATATATGTTATAAACTTCTTGTAACTTTATCGATTGAGCGAGCACCAGGATAGGATCACTTTTTGGCCTTTTCCAACTTTTTACATCTTTGAGGGAAACATAATCATCCACTAGGTCAGTGTATTGTAACTTTCAACCACCTTTCATTTATTTGTTTATTACTATATTTTGTATTTCATCTTTGTTCCTTGAAGTTTATAATCTATAAATTTAGTATTTTATATATTTGAATCAAGTAAAATGTTTTGCAAATCCTTGATCCAAGACATAATACCTCATGTTCCAATTTTATTATTGACTAAATTACATTTTTGGGTCCTTAAGGGTAGCTCATTTTTGCATATTTGGCCCCAAAAAAATTCATTTGAAATTTTGGTCCTTATACTAGATTTTTGTAATATTTTTTGTACTCGTCCCAAATAAAATAACTTTTCTGGTCTCTTCGTAATGGGTATAGCTTAATTTTTCAAATTTGTTCCAAAAAATAGACATTTTACTTAGAAGAGGTACAAAAAACATCACAAAGCCGCAATAAGGACTAAAAATGCAAGAAAAAAAATTGATGTGACCAAATTTGATAAAAAAGCTATACGAGACTAAAAATGTAAATTACTATTTATTATTTTCTATATCTGAATACTGGTAATTCCATTTGTGGAAAGCATGATGTCATGTTTATGTGATTAATGTCTAGAACCATATATATACTTAAACAAAAAATAAATAATTTTTTATAAGAAGTTTTCTTAGTCCACAATAAAAAATGGTAACAGATGGTGTTTGCTAGAAGCGTATTAACTTCAAAATATATAAATCTTGATGACAAAATTTAGCAAAAAGGAATAATAATACACAGCCAATCTAGTAGCTAAACAAAACAAGAACTTATTCCGTATGATGCCAAACGATTGATGATGATTAATTAGATTCTCTTCTCTCTTGTTCTTGAAACACTGGATCTTGGTGATGATCTGGCATGAGATTTTCGAGCACCTGGAGACTCTGTTCTCAGAAATCTTGTACTCGTTTCCCTTGTGCTTCCTCTTCTATCAGACATCTGAAAGCTTCCTGAATCAGTCTTTTTTTCATCAAACACATTCTTCCTACTTCTTCCTCTACCTCTCCTCCTACCATCGTTCTCACTACTCCTTGAATTTGGAGTGTTTCTTCTAGATGAACTCTCATTGTTAAACTTTATTGTCCTACATGTTCTTCCTCGAATCTTTGTATCCTTCTCTTCACCATCATCATCATCATCATCATCATCAGCAGCAGCAGCAGCCATGTTTCCATGCCTCTTGTTATCTTTCAAATGGACCTGCCCTTCAAACTTTGTTTTTTTGGTGGGTGTTCGATCATTACCTGAATCAATATTAGTCGCCCCTTCAGATTCTGAATCTGACAACAAAGACTCGGTTTCATCATCTTCTTCATGTTCACTTTCAGTATCATCCTCTTCGTCATCTTCATCATCATCATCATCTTCTTCTTCTTCGTTAGAAACTTGTCTGGCTTTTTGCTTTTTAGTTCCAGTTTCTTGATTCTTTGATTTGCTTTGCTCCTTGACAGTGTACATCAAATGAATATAATTAGACCTTAACGTCATCAATGGATGTTGTGGCTTCGAAATAAGCAAATCCCTCTTATAAGCTTCTCTCAAAACGACTGTATGTGTGTGCAGTTTACTTGAAACATAGAAGATCCCAGGGTGTTGAAGCAATGCCTTCTTGAACCTTGATCGAAGACCCAAATATTCACCAAGAAAAAGTAGATTATCCTTGTCAGTTTTCTTTGGTACTAAAAGATGAA